ATGACAATACACCACTCTGCTGGCGAGGACAATATTTTTGCTCTCAACAAAGCCAGGTCACATTATAGCAAAGTACACCACTTGGCTAGCAAGGTCAACAATCTTGCTGTAAACTAAGCCCAGTCACAGCAATTTGAAACCATGCAAACAACATAATTATCACTTACAAACTATAAACATATTACATATAACACACCACAAACATTGAAACATTTCATATATTTACACACTTACAAAATATAAACCCATATAACCTTAACACATATATACACAATAAAACACAATATAAATAACACACATATATAGATAAATATATAAATTAAGAAAAATATATAAATTTGAAACTTTACAAATACAACCTTATTTTTGTTTTTTGAAATACCTCGTAATAAATGTTTAACAACTTTCAAAAACAAACTATCAAACAATCTGGTTTTTTATACGGATTTTTATAACTTCTTTTAAATAAGGTATTAAACGATCTTGTTCTTTAACATGTAACATTGAGTTGACCGTGTGAGATGCAAGTGTTTTAAACACTAACTTTATCAAGAGTTTGACCTCTTGACCTTTGAAATGAGCAACGTCTTCTTGAGTCGTCTTTTAATTTAAAAATTAGAGATTAATTTTATAAATTAATAAATTTAAATACAATTGACAAAAGACTAAAATGCATGATTTAAATAAATCACCTGACTTTAAAAGTTACTTTACTAATTCAATAATAACATAATGTTCATCCTTTACTACAGAAGTTATCAAATAAAAATTGTTGATCTTATCACTAATTAAGCTGATGAAACAAAGTTTTTGATCTCATTACTGATTAAGCAGATACTGACAGATTATTAAGATTTGAAAGAGCCCCATTAAGCGAGTTCAGAAGTAAAGCAATTTATGATAAAACTCAAAGGCCAAGTATGGTAAAAAAATCCGTGTAAAGGTGCACGAATGGTGAGCAGCAGCGTTAAGTTAAGTATTAATTATAAGCGTGTGTCTATATAATTATATATAGACACACACACACACAATAAAATATATAGAATTAAAATGTCTATACATATATTATATGTATAGACATTTTAATTTTTTTGCCTTAAATTATTGTCCCTTTTTCTTTAGAATATTAAATATCTAAAAAAAAAAAAAAAATAGTAAAAGAAGTTTCAATATTTCCAAGTTTCTTCACTTGAAGCAAATATATGATTGTTTATAGAGGTTCTTTTAGTAGTTTTGTATTTATTTATTGCAAATCTTGCGTTAAATGCCTTTCAAAGTAATGAAAGGGTTTTGTTGATGGATGATTACATTTTATCCTTCCATGCTAGCAGTACTTGCTGAGTTGACAGGCCTTAAATTTTTTAAATTTGCTTTATTTATGAGTTCTTATATGTAAAAAATTTGTTTTTTAAATTACATTTGTTTTTTTTGTTTTTTTTGATTAAATACTTATAATATTTTGTCAATAATTGATAACAACTACCATAAATATATAAACAATACTTAGTTGAAAATATTACATTAATTTATAACTTTAGTTTAAGTTTTTAATAAAACTATGTTATCTTAATACAGTGCTATATATGGTAGAATATAATAGATTATAGTATTATGCTCTGTATTATTTGCTTACACTTTATTTTAGATAAGTTTAAAAAAGAAACTTCAACTTTTATTATATTAGGCATCATTTTTACACACTCCTTTGATGCCTAATTATGTCTAATAATTTAAGAAATGAAATTATTAGACTTCGTCAAAATGAAAGAAGGCAGGCTAGGCGAGCTGAGATAAACCGCCGTCGAAATGAAAGAGATGAGCCCAGGCGAGCTGAGATAAATCGTCGTCGAATTGAAAGAGATGAGCCCCGGCGAGCTATGATAAATCGTCGTCGAATTGAAAGAGATGAGCCCCGGCGAGCTGAAATAAATTGTAATCAAAATGAAAGAAATCAGGCTAGGCGAGAACTTAATAGGTATAATATGCATCGCATAGCAAGAAATAATATTGCTATAGAGAGTAACTACCTCGGAGAATTAAACCATAATTGTCAGTATTGCAGTGCAAAGAAGTTTTTAAATGAAACTCATTTTTTGTGCTGCCATTCAGGAAAAGTTGCATTAGCTCCTCTTTCTCTTTATCCGCCATTGTTGACTGGTTTAATGACAGGAAACCATGTTGATCATGCTGTAAATCAAAATTTTTTTAAACACATAAGGAGTTATAATTCCTCTTTATCTTTTGCTTCCTTCACTGCCGAAATAGCTCCTCCCTCAAATAATGGCCCTTTCTGTTTTAGGGTCTGTGGGCAAATTTTGCATCGTGTTGGAAATTTAAGGCCTGCAGAAGGTTGTCTGCCCAAATATTGTCAGCTGTATATCTATGATCCTAATGCAGCAGTGTCATTCAGAATGGAACAACCTGGTAATGATGGTTGTATACATGAGTTAATGCAACTCTTGCAAACATTAATTAATCAAGAAAACCCATTTGCTCTTGCATTTAAAAACATGGCAGAAGTAGAGGATGAAGAAATCCGCCAAGCAGCTTTAGAAGGTAGACCAACCTCTGTTGTAAGAATGTCTTTGCTTGAAGGTCATGATAGACGTCGATACAATCTTCCTTCCCATGAGGAAGTTGCTATTGTGTTTGTGGGAGATGATGGTGCTCCACCTGCATCCAGGGAAATTGTTATATACCCTCGAGGTCAGCCTTTAAGAACAATTTCGTCTATGTCTGCAAATTTGGATCCTTTGGTATATCCAATATTCTTCCCGAGAGGTGATGCTGGATGGCACAATCAACTAGAGCACAACCCTGACCGTGCAACCCGTGTTAGAAACCATGTTACTTTGTCTCAGTATTATAATTATAGGCTTGCTGTTAGACAAACTTTTAGTCCTATACTCTATGGTAAGAAACTTTTTCAGCAATATGTTGTTGATGCATATGTCAAAGTTGATATATATATATATATATATATATATATATATATATATATATATATATATATACATATATATATATATACATATATATATATATATATATATATATATATATATATATATATATACATATATATATATATATATATATATACATATATATATATATATATATATATATACATATATATATATATATATATATACATATATATATATATATATATATATATATATATATATATATATATATATATATATATATATATATATATATATATATTGATGTACATACAAAACATTAAAATAATAATATAAAGAAAACATTCTCTATACAAAAAATCCTAAAAATTTAACAAAAGTTATTAAAACTTATGCTTCAACACGCTGTATACTTACTTTTATATATATAAAAAAAATTTGAGTTAAACATATTTAATGAAGAAAATCGAAACTCTTAAAAATTTTAATGAGGAGGAGCTGTTAGTAAAGCCTGCTTTTTAACAAAATTTATTTATTGTCAAAAGCATACATTGTTAAGAACAGAGGATAACAACATTAAAACACATTTTTTAAACAATATTTTTTCAACACATTTTAGAAATACACTAATTACAAACAGAATTAATTTATGTGTTTTATTATGACAATACACCACTCTGCTGGCGAGGACAATATTTTTGCTCTCAACAAAGCCAGGTCACATTATAGCAAAGTACACCACTTGGCTAGCGAGGTCAACAATCTTGCTGTAAACTAAGCCCAGTCACAACAATTTGAAACCATGCAAACAACATAATTATCACTTACAAACTATAAACATATTACATATAACACACCACAAACATTGAAACATTTCATATATTTACACACTTACAAAATATAAACCCATATAACCTTAACACATATATACACAATAAAACACAATATAAATAACACACATATATAGATAAATATATAAATTAAGAAAAATATATAAATTTGAAACTTTACAAATACAACCTTATTTTTGTTTTTTGAAATACCTCGTAATAAATGTTTAACAACTTTCAAAAACAAACTATCAAACAATCTGGTTTTTTATACGGATTTTTATAACTTCTTTTAAATAAGGTATTAAACGATCTTGTTCTTTAACATGTAACATTGAGTTGACCGTGTGAGATGCAAGTGTTTTAAACACTAACTTTATCAAGAGTTTGACCTCTTGACCTTTGAAATGAGCAACGTCTTCTTGAGTCGTCTTTTAATTTAAAAATTAGAGATTAATTTTATAAATTAATAAATTTAAATACAATTGACAAAAGACTAAAATGCATGATTTAAATAAATCACCTGACTTTAAAAGTTACTTTACTAATTCAATAATAACATAATGTTCATCCTTTACTACAGAAGTTATCAAATAAAAATTGTTGATCTTATCACTAATTAAGCTGATGAAACAAAGTTTTTGATCTCATTACTGATTAAGCAGATACTGACAGATTATTAAGATTTGAAAGAGCCCCATTAAGCGAGTTCAGAAGTAAAGCAATTTATGATAAAACTCAAAGGCCAAGTATGGTAAAAAAATCCGTGTAAAGGTGCACGAATGGTGAGCAGCAGCGTTAAGTTAAGTATTAATTATAAGCGATAAGCGATTGTTTTAATATATTTTATTTTACCAATAATTTCATTAGTGTTTGGTTAAGAGAAAATGGATGATTTTAAAGATGATTATTTAAACTACTGACTTCCCGAACTTCGCGTAAAAAAACCATACGAAATTCGACCTTGCATTTTACCTGTTTACTGTTCACAGAAACTATTATCATTTTTCTTTTTTTTTTTTGAAAAAAACAAAAAGATACTTGGAAATATGAACTCCTTTTTTACAGAAACTATTTTTAAAATACTATTGTTTTTTTTGAAAATATGATTAAAATATTTTTCTTGAAATAAAACAGTAGTTAAAATTTAATACTAACCTTTATATAACTTTATCTTTAAGAATGTGATATATTTAAGAGTGTGAGAGTTAAATTTAAACCTATTTAAATTTTTGCTGATATAAAAGCAGTCAGCAGTTCAGGCCCGTCAAGTTCGGATTTATTTAAAAACAATCCGAAATCGAGACAATTCGATTATTTGAAAGACGGATAAATTAATTAGTTTTACAACCTCCATTTAATTCAGGAACAAATCTTAAAACATTGATTCTAAGTTTAAAGATGACAAGCACAGATTATGTTCAAGGCATTAATAAAATGAAAAAACCAACTACAAAGTACGATTTTTCCTTTTTATTTCTTCTTCGTTTCTTCAAATTTAAAAAGCAAAAGTTTAAAATCCTTTTAAGCAATGTTTGATAATATTTTACATTTGAAGCTCTTAATAATTTTTATTTGTTTGCATATTTTTACCTGTACTTATAGTATAGATTTATATAAGATTAATATTATTTTACTCAAGGTTTTTAAAACTAGCATTTTAACTAAAGCTGCAACATTAGAGGTTTTTGTACCTTTCTTCTCAGAACATATTAATAATATAATGCTCTGATACATATTATCTGTTTTTAGATATAGATAATAATATTATTATCTGTTTGAGAATATATATATATATATATATATATATATATATATATATATATATATATATATATTTATATATATATATATATATATATATATATATATATATTTATATATGTCTGTATATATTATATATATTAATAATAATAATAATTTAGGTCGAATAAGCAGTTTTGAAAAGTTCGATTTATATATATATATATATATATATATATATATATATATATATATATATATATATATATATATATATATATATATATATGTATGTATATATATATATATATATATATATATATATATATATATATATATATATATATATATATATATATATATATATATATATATATATATATAGAATAGAATAGAAAAGGTGCTGTACACACTTGAGGTGTGTAGAGTCTTAATTACGTAGAATTAAGACTATGACAGCCGATTACAAAAATTAGTGTTCAGAAACCGAAATAATTATCGATACTGTTTTTAAAAATGTTCAAATTATCTTTATCTAATATCCATTGTGGAAGAGAATTCCAATCATTTATAACTCTGTTTGTAAAGAAATGGCGACGAATTCTTGATTTTGTAAATTGTCTGCGTATTCTACAATTGTTACTTCTACTAGATCGCTCCAGCTCAAAATTTAAAGGAGGATGGTGAAAATTAACAATATCTTTTCCTTTTGAGATCTTATACATTTGAATCAGATCACCTCTTCTTCTTCTATCAAACAAAGTTGGCAATTCAAGTATCTTTAATCTTTCTTCATACGACTTCCCCCTTAAAGATTCAATTCTCGTAGCCCTGTGTTGCACGATTTCAAGATTGTCAATGTCCTTTTTCCAAAATGGACTCCAAACTGTTGCTCCATATTCCAAATGGGGACGTACTAACGATTTGTATAGTAACTTTAATGAAAGTTCATCCAAATACTCAAAAGAGTTTTTGATCATGCCTAATTTTCTGTTTGCTTTACCTATAGCTGAATTAACATGATATTTCCACTCTAGATTATTTGAAATGAAAATCCCAAGATCATTTTCTATCATTGTTTCTGTTAAAATAGAGTTGTTCAATTTATATTCATATCTTGGATTCTTTTTGCCAATGTACATGACTTTACATTTTGATTCATTAAATGTAATTAACCAATCTTCAGACCATTTAACTAACCTGTTAATATCCTCTTGTAATATTTTATTATCATCATAACAATGATTGATTGAAATAACTTTGGTATCGTCTGCATATAATTTAGTGTCTTTAATAATCCCTCTACATAAGTCATTAATGAAGATTACAAACAAAAGAGGTCCGAGTACTGAACCTTGTGGTACTACACTAGTAACCATCTTCCAATTTGAAATATATTCCCCTATTACAACCCTCTGTGTTCGGCCTGACAAAAATGATTTACACCAATTTAATAAAGATGATACAAATCCTAGCCTGAATAACTTTTTCAGTAATTTCGTGTGAGAGACTGAATCAAATGCTTTTTTAAAATCCAAAAATAAAACATCAACAGAAATATCCTCTTCATACGCTTGCGTGATTAAATCTAATGTTTCTAACAGGTTTGTTATACAACTTTTGTTATTAACAAAACCATGTTGCTCTTTAGAAATTAAATTGTTTTCAATGAGGAACACCATCATATGATCTTTAATAATTCTCTCCATAACTTTACCAACAATTGATGTTAATGAAACTGGTCTATAATTTGTTGGATCTAGTTTATTTCCTTTTTTAAATAACGGAACAACGTTTGCACATGACCATAACTTTGGAATAGATCCTGTAATAAACGATTTAACAAATATTATTGCTAAAGAACTTGACAAAGATTCTGAACATTCCTTTAAAACTTTTGGGTGAACATTATCTGGACCTACTGATTTGTACATGTTTAAATTACTCAAATGTTTCTGAATAAGAGAAATACTAAAATCTGGATCAGAACATTTTGTTAAAAGATTGTCATCTAAAACTTCTTCTGGTGAGTCATCTTGAATAAACACAGAAGCAAAGAATTCATTAAGAGTGTTTACTATCTCTTGATTACCAGTAGTTATAATACCATTATGTAGCTTTATGGCTTTGATCGAGTCTTTAAATCTTGTTTTGTTGTTTATATAAGCATAGACACTTTTAGGATTGCTTTTTGAATTAAGTGCCAAGTTTTTTTCAAAATTGCGAATACTTTTCCTGACAAGTTTTTTTATATCTTTATTTAATTTTTTATACTTATTGACTTCTAAAAGACTTTTAAAACCTGAATTTCTGTTTCTAAACCAACATTTTTTCTTTTCTTTACACATGCTTTTAAGTTCAGTTGTCATCCATAGTGAGTTATTTTTTAGTTGAAAAGAGTTTTTATCTAAATTTAGCGTTGGGATATATTTTTCACATCCTATTTCATATTTTCTTAGCCATTTTTCGTAACATTCATTAACACTTAGTCCTTCAAATTCATTTATCCAGTTTATGTTATTAAAATACAAATCTAACGCTTTATAGTTTCCATTTTTCCACAAAAATTTTTTCTTCCTCGTTTGTAGTGATATTAATAAATTAGGTTTATTTTCATAACCAAATCGAAATTTCAAAATATGATGACCATGATCGATACCACCTAACGGTGGAAAATGTTCAAGAAAATAAACTCTGTTGCTATTGTCAGTCAAAATGAGGTCTAAAATGTTAGTATCAATACCAAACTTTACTTGAAAACTAGGACTGATAACATTTTGGTGCAGGTAACAGTCATGTAACAACTCAATAAACATACTTGCTGTTGTGTCACTGTCATTTATAACTTCACTAAAACTTTCATCGTTCCACTTGATGTTTGCATAGTTAAAGTCACCACATATTAAAATACCAGAGCATTTGTTATTTTTTTTTGAGTACATATGCTTGTTTTAATGATTTTATAATGTCAATACACTTTTCACTATTACTAAGGCCTGTCCGGTACATACAACCACATAAGATTTGATCTTTGCCAATTTCAATCAAACACCATACTTGCTCAATATTTTCATTTATTAGATATTTTTCATTTATTTCATAAGATTTAATATTCTCTTGTATATAAATACATACACCACCACCACGACTAAATTGACGATCTTTTCTAAACAGATTATAACCAGGAATATTAGTAGTAGACATTGCTGACCACCAAGTCTCACAAGCAAATATAACTTGAGCCTTAGATCTGGATATATCATCAATGAATTCGTCAAATTTATTATTTAAAGAGGTCGCATTTGTATACCAACATGTTAAATAATCGATATTTTCTGTTTTTAAACCTTTTTGAAGGTCTTGATTCATTTTCTTTACCAGCAGTGTATTAGCACTTGAGTTCAAATGATTACTTCCTCCAGTGTCTGCATCAGGGTTATTTAATTGGTTATATATATATTGACAAGGTGTATGTAAAGAATGTTTAAAATTATGTGTGTTATACTGTGATGACTTGAACAACAATTGCTATTTGTTTATCAACACTACTTGTTTATTTCTAATTACGTGATAGCTTTTAACTTGGTCCCAATCGACTTTTAGGTTGAGTGGTTTATTTAATTCTCTACATTTATCCCTGAGTTGTTTATCCAAGTTTCTCTGAGCATCAGTTAAATCAGGATTTACATAAATACCATTAAACTTACGGTATGATTTTTTTATAAAGTCATTTCTCATGTCCTTATTTCTTAACTCGACAATTACTGGTGCAATACCATTTTTAGATTTTAATCTAAAAATACGAACCATATGAAGTTTATCTATTGATACTTGATCCAATAAATCTAATACTTTGTTTTCGTCATCTTTCTTTATATCTGCGCCATCAGTTTTATTGGATTCTTTTAAACCAAAAATAATTACGTTCTTCTCTCGTCGTTCGATTTCTTTATTTTCATTCGAAACTGTATTAATAATATCAATCTGAGATTGAGTTTTATTTAATTTTCTATCTGTTACAATATTCCAAGCTTCATTCGGAGCAGGAACAATAACATTTACAACTTTGTTGTTTAAATCTTCATTCTTTTTAGTTAAATCAGCAACTGTTAATACTAATGATTGTATTGTTTTTTTCAAATCTGCTACAGCATTACTAATCTTTGATTCATATTCAATTCTTAGTTTACTCTCCAGTGCATCCAGAGCGTCTTTGAATTCTTTTGCATTAACCATAATATATTAGTTATAATATAGTTAACCTTATTACACAGGGACTAAAAAGTTTCAGTATGTGTTTTTTTTCGTTCCGTTTTTTCCGTTTTTTTTATATGTATATATATGTATATGTATCCTTGAGGTCGCGATCACGTCACAAAACAAGCTACTATCTTTGTAGGGGGAAAACATTAGGCAAAGCCTGTTATTAGCGCGTTTTTTTTTAATGCTTTAAACAATTATTAAAACGGGCTAATAAAGCGTTTTGTTCAATGTTTTCCCCCTACTAAGATAGTAGCTTGTTTTGTGACGCAATTGCGACCTCAAGGATATATACATATATGTTTTCAAATTATAAACTATTAAAAAAAGACAAGATTTGCTACAAAAATTTTTAAAAATGTATAATTAAAACACACGCATAACTCCATAAAAATTAAATTATAAAGCTTATTTTCAATTGCGTTACTCAAATTTTTTTTTTTTAAACTATCAG